CGTTTAATTTGACTTTAGAATGAGAGGTGAGACGTCATTAAAAAAATCTTTTAAACCTAAAACTCCGCACTGAAAGAACCCGAACAGCTGTCGATCTGCGCACTATTCTTATTCTTCTTCATGAGAAACGAAAGAGCTTCAAAACAGACTGCAGCGCAATCTGAAGCAAAGAGCGGACTTCCGGCGGACACTTTTTTGGCTGAGTGGACCATCATGTTATTTACTATCTTTGACACAACACAATACAACGCAATGCTCTTCAGCGATCATCAGATTTCAAACTTGACTTTCCCGAATTCAGGACCATCGACGTCACCACCCTTCCCACCATCCTTTGCAGCTCGGGCGGCGGCGGCTGTTTCCTCTTCCAGGTCCTCGTCTGAGGAGTCACGTGGTGTGTGCTCGTGGATGAGGATGCTCAGCTGGCGGCGGAGTGACCTTGACAGTGGCGGGATATAGGCACGCGGGATCAGGTAGGTGGACATGTTGAACAGGTCCAGGAACACCTTGTAGCGGTCACTGGAATTGATTGGCGTTTGTTTGAGTAAGCAAAAAGATGAGCATCGCTCGACACAAAAACGGTTATGTTTGTTTGTTTAAATAAAAAGAAGCACATGAACACCTCGTGTGTCACTGGAGAAATATGGAGAGAGAGATTTTCCTTTTCTGGGCCAACAGTTTGGAACACTCTCCCTCGTGATTTTTGGACCATATAAAACTTGATACCTTCAAAACGGGGCTCAAAACACATCTATTTAAGAAATATTGTAATTAATGGACAGTACTTCGCCTTTTTGTATGAGCATTTTTTATTGTCGGAAAGAATGTTGCTGTAAAAAAGTGCGCACATGATGAATTTGTATGGTGTTAGTATGAAAGCGTTTTTAATCTCCTATGTACGCCTTGGGCCCATGTTGTGGGGAAAGGCGGGATACAATAAATGCTCTTATTATTAATAACAGTCATTCAGTGCTGGGAAGAAGTAAGACAGACAGACAGAAACAACAGAGGCGAAAGTAAAGAAGCAGGACCTGCCAGTGGCGCCCTCTAAAGTGATGGG